TCTATTTGCCAATCCCTGGAGTAAACTGTTGTTTTTTATTTTCATCCTTAATGAAATGGCCTTACTTCTAAAATGTTTTTCAAAAAGACTGTGCCAGATGGCTATGGCACCAGCAGCTTCTAAGAAGGTACCTTACTTAACCAGCAGCAGTACTGGGTTGTATCTTTTCAAAATTCTGGATAATCTGATATATTAAATCATATTTTAGTTGGCATATCTTTTGTCTGGTGAGACTGAACTAACTCTTCCTTAGCTCCCGCCCCCTAGTAAGCTGAGAGTTATTCCCACAGCAGTAGTAGTCAGTGGAACATGGTTTAGAAATCTTACTTGTATTGTATGCCACTGATCTGCTATTGCAATACAATCAGAAATACCCTAACTTGACACATTTTTGCTCATTTTCTACTGAGATGATAGAAACTGTTATTTACAGCAACAAGTCAGGAAGCAGCTCCTGGACAATAAGAGAGAAGGGCTGTGTGGTGCTTCCCAAAGCAATCACCATCACCTCCCCTCTGTTGACTGCACTCTCAGAAACACATATGAAGACATGTTCTGGAAGCCATCTATGCCAGAAAGACCCAGGCTCTCTTGAGCAGAGCTGCAGGAGACACCACGGAGTCACTTACCCCTCTAGATTTGGTTCCCAGCAGAGGGAGACAGGCCTCAACTACCTGTGCTGTTGCTGCTGTCTGTGTACAGCCAGGATTACTGTGGGAAGGTGAGCAATAGAGCTGCATGCAACTGAGCCATAGTCATTACCTTAACAGTCTGTGGGCAAGCCTAAGGCCACTCCCACTCAGTTCTGTTGCTTGTGCTGTTCAAAACCTATTCCTTAAAACATTTTTCAGAACTCATCTTTTTCTTCTGTTTTTCCAATTTTCTTCTTCGTAGTAAGTAATCCTTAGTTTTACTTTTTCTCAAAAAGGATACAGTTTCTGTAAGTGGATCCAAGTTACTGAAAGAAACAAGAAATGACAAGAGTAAGAATTCTTTAGCCCAACTTAAAATATTATAGTAATTAAAACAAAATATGGGCTGGGCATAGTGGTTCACACCTTTAATCCCAGCACTCAGGAGGCAGAGGAAAGCCAACCTTGTACAATAGCAAGTTCCAAGACAGCCAGGACTACACAGAGAAACCCTGTCTCAAAAAACTGACCAAACAAGACAACAAAACATGTTTCTTCTACAACTCTGAAACCAACCTGAAAGCCAGAGAAGATGGTTTATATGACCCAGAGCCACATGTGCACCAATAAAGAGATCTGTACTTTTTCACTGAACTGCCTTTTTATAAGCAGAATTATAGCTTACTCCATCAGACTTGCAGACATGAGGACCAGTTAGGTGTATATCTCATACGTACAGCCAGTCCAACTAACCTGCTCCCATTCCATCATACCTACCTTGCTCTGGGCCTTCTCTACAATTTACCCTTCTTAAAGTGGATGGGAGTACTCCCCTACCTCCACAGTTTCTCCTCCTGGTACAAATCCTCACAGACCTCATGTACTTTCAAATGAAGTTCATTTACTTCTACACTGTTCCCTCCTGTCAACTAAGCCCTGGTGCTGTGGGGAACTACCCAACATGTCCCATCACACAAGCCCAAATTCAGCATTCTTGAAAACCATCTCAAACCATCTCTCCCCATCACTTTCCTAGTCAGTCTTTTCCCAGGCTCCAAACCAGCTATTTTCAACTGTTTCCCTTTCTTGTCAATCTGAGACTGAAGAATGTCAGGTAGTCATACTACATTCCTCTAGTCCAGTAGTTCTCAACCCTTTAGGTTTCAAAACCTGTGGTGATGTACTATGGAAGTACCTCTTATATACTCAAAGACTGAAACTTTTGTTGGATCTCACAACTAGAGTTGCTAATGCACCCTGAAATCACTTAAGACTGTATCCTCAGCCTGTGTGCTTATTAACCCACCTTTATGAGAACATTGTAACAATCAACTTACTTGCCTTGGCTTTCCATTTAATCAACTTTTAGAACCTAATACATAGCTCTAACCTTAAGTTATATATTCTTCCATCCTCCTGACCCAGAACAATGCATGTGTATCACAGAAAGCAGCAAAAAGAGGTTGAAAGCGATCTTCTAAGATGAATATCCTTCATAAACACTGAAAACAGTGTTTGGATATTGGTTAATAAACACTGATGTGTATAATGCTATTTGTTGTCTTGATCAGTGGGGATCAGTTGGAGCCAGAGACTGAATCCCTTGTAAAACTGTTACAGATTTCTGTAAAGTGTCCCTTCTTTCTTCCATGTGATGCTTTCTGTGCTGCTCAATAGACAGAGTCCAACCCTTTGTGAGGGACAGAAACTGAACACAAACGCAGGGACAAATTCACAAGACACCCTTTGAACAGGCAGAAATGAAGACTCATGTACCAGTCAGAGTGCAGAGGGAGCATAAAGTAGAGAATTCAGTTCTGGACTTGCAAGGGGAAGTGCTTTTTCTTGCCTTAATGTGACACCAATGCATTATTGGTATCTGGGAGCTTTGTGTTTAATCCATACAAAAACCCACTTTACACTTAAGACAAACAGACCTATTGTATTTACTTACTGTGTCTTGGTTGGTTTTGGCCAACATAAAACTAGACATCTGGGAAGAGGCAATCTTGATTGAGAAAGAGCCTCCATAAGACTGGCCTACAGGCAACGGAGGCATTTTCTTCATCAATGGATGATTGATGTGGGCCACTGTGAGTGGTGCCACCCCTGGGCAGGTAGGCCTTGGGTGTATGAGAAAGCAGACTGAGCAACCCAGGAGATGAAGCCATTAACAGCACTCCTCCATGTGTTGTGCTTCACTTCCTGCCTCCATTTTCCTGCCTTGGCTTCCCTCAGCAGACTGACCTGGGGTATTCTGACCAATATCTTATCATAACAATAGAAACCTTAAGGTCTACAGGCCATATACATATCTTCATTTTTTTTTTTATTTTTTGGTTTTTTTCGAGACAGGGTTTCTCTGTGTAGCCCTAGCTGTCCTGGAACTCACTTGGTAGACCAGGCTGGCCTCGAACTCAGAAATCCGCCTGTCTCTGCCTCCCAAGTGCTGGGATTAAAGGCATGCACCACCACCACCCGGCACATATCTTCAATTTTAAGTTACTCATTTAAAAATACTTACATGTTAACATGAATAATTTTACCAAGAAAAATTAAAAAAAAAACATAATGACAGTGGCAAATTTAAATGAAAACCATTGACTTCTCTAGTGTTCGTGATACATACTATTTAGAGACTGCACACCTACAAAACAGTAGGCAAAACAACCAGTCTTCGAGCTGTGAGAACAGCTTTGACCTTAGATACATCATGAACCAATCCTAAGGTCCTCTGGTCTGGGTGCTGTGGCCTTGCCCTGTAGAGACTCCAACCCTCTTCTTTACATGTTTGGCTCAACTCAACTGTCAAACTCTCTCTGCTCTTCCTCTATCTCCTTACACATGTGAAAGTGCAAAAAAAAAAAAAAAAAAAGGTAAGAAGAAAAGAGCCCAAGGCCTCTAGCTGACTTCCCCCACCCAAAAGCCTCTGTATCCAGACACTGCTTGCTCTTCTGCCATTATAAGACTAGCAGACCCTCCCTCTTCTCACCACTGAGGACGCTAGTCTACAATTCTTTCTCTCCTGTATTTGTACCTTCCACGTCTGCCTCTCCTGAAGGGAGTGTACAAATGCAGCACACGCTTAGCCATCACCACTCAGGATAGTGCCCTCCTCCTACTTGGACTCAGTCCTCTTGTGTGCCAGCTTCTGGGTCCCACCCGTTTTCCTCCCACCTCAGTTTGGCCTTTCAGTTTCATTTACTCTAGTACCTAACCTGTGATTCACTGTTTCCCAAGATGGCCTACTAACATGGAAAAGTAACAAGAGATGGCATTACCAAGCCAGGTGAGCTGAGACCTAATGTTTAGTAAGTGTTCATGTGTATTTTCCTATTTTATCCATTTCCATATTAAACCACTCTCTTCCTAAAGCTTCATATGCATGATTTACCTGTCTCTTTCTTAACTTCAGATACTGTATCATATACACAGCACCTCCCATTATCACTCTAGGCCATTGCCAAGGCCTCCTCAA